TGGCTGTTGGCTTTGCATAAATGCCCTTTATTATGTTGAGGAATTTGCATACTATTCCTGTTTTGCTGAGAGTTTTTATCATGAATGGGAGTTGTATTTTTCAAATGCTTTTTCTGTATCAATTGATAAGGTCATGTGGTTCTTGTCTTTTACTTATGTGACGGGTTGCATTGATTGTTTTTCTAATGTTGAACCATCCCTGTATACCTGGTATAAATCCCACTTAATCATGGTGAATTATTTTTTTGATATGGTGTTGAAATCTATTGACTAGAACTTTGTTGAGGATTTTTATGTCAGTGTTCATGAGGGCTCTTGGTCTGTAATTTTCTTTTTTTGTGGTGTGTTTAACTGGTTTTGGTATCAGGGTTATACTGGCTTCATAAAATGAGTTTGGGAGTACTCCATCCTTTTCTATGCTCTGAAATACCTTTAGTAGTAGTGGTGTTAACTCTTCTCTGAAAGTTTGGTAGAATTCTCCAGTGAAACCATCTGGGCCAGGGCTTTTTTTGGTTAGGAGTTTTTTAATTACCTTTTCAATCTCTTCTTTTGTTATGGGTTTCTTTAGTTGTTCTACCTCTGTGTTTGTTTAGGTAGGTAGTGAGCTTCTAGAAATTTGTCCATTTCCTCTAGGTTTTCAAATTTGTTAGTGTACAGTTTTTCATAGTATTCTGCTATGATTCTTTTAATTTCAGTTGAGTCTTCTGGTATCACCCATCTCATTTCTTACTCGGGTTATTTGCTTCCTCTGCTGTTTTTCCTTTGTCAGTTTTGCCAGTGGTGTATCGATTTTGTTGATCTTTTCAAAGAACCAGCTTTTGGTTTTGTTAATTCTTTCAATTGTTTTTTTCTATTCTCTATTTCATTTAATTCTGCTCTAATTCTTATTATTTCTTTTCTTCTGGCGCCTGAGGGTTTCTTTTGCTGCTCTCTCTCTACTTGTTTGAGTTGTAGGGCTAATTGATTTTGGCCCTTTCGTCTTTTTGGATGTGTGCATTTATTGCTGTAAACTGACCTGTGAGCACTGCTTTTGCTTTGTCCCAAAGGTTCTGGCAGGATGTGTTTTCATTCTTATTTGATTCTGTGAGTTTCTTTATTCCATCCTTAATTTCTTCTGTAACCCAGTAGTTTTTGAGCAAGGTGTTGTTCAGTTTCCATGTGTTTGGTTTTTTTCCCTTGCTTTTTCTGTTATTGATTTCTACTTTTATGGCTTTATGATTAGAAAAGGTGCTTTGTAATATTTCGATGCTTTGTGTTCTGTTAAGGTTTGCTTTATGGCCTAACGTGTGGTCTGTTGTGGAGAATGTTCCATCTGTGTTGGAAAAGAAAGTATACTTGCCTGCTGTTGGGTGGAATGTTCGGTATGTATCCATGAGATCAAATTGTTTGATTGTGGCATTTAGATCTTCTGTGTCTTTATTGAGCTTCTTTCTGGATGTTCTGTCCTTCACCGGAAGTGGTGTGTTGAAGTCTCCTACTATTATTGTGGAGCTGTCTGTCTCTCTTTTCAATGCTGTTAGAGTTTGTTTTATATATTTTGGAGCCCTATCATTGGATGTGTAAATATTTATTATGGTTATGTCCTCCTGGTTTATTGACCGTTTAATCATTCTATAGTGTCCTTCCTTATCCTTTGTAGTGGATTTTAAAGTCTATTTTGTCAGATTAACATTGCCACTGCTGCTCTTTTTTGAGTGTTGTTTGCTTGATATATTTTTTTCCATCCTTTGAGTTTTAGTTTGTTTGTGTCTTTAAGTCTAAGGTGTGTCTCTTGTAGGCAACATATAGATGGATCGTATTTTTTTTTATCGATTCTGCCACTCTCTGTGTCTTTATTTGTGCCTTCAGTCCATTTACGTTCAGCACAATTTTTGATAGGTATGAGTTTAGTGTTGTCATTTTGATGTCTTTTTTTGTGTGTTGTTGATAGTTTCTTTGTTCTACTTAATTTTTTGTGCTGAGTCATTTTTCTTTACGTATTTTCATCTATTTCATTGTTATTGATTTTTTATTTGCTGAGTCTTTCTGTTTTTCTTGTTTTTTATTGTGGTGTGTAGGATTGTTAATTTTCTTTGTGGTTTCCTTATTATTTACCCCTATTCTTCTAAGTTTATACCAGTCTTTTATTTCTTTATATTGCCTTGACTTCCTCTCCATATGAAAAATCTATGTCTACATTTCTTAGTCCCTCTTTTTTGTTTTAATGTGTCGTCTTTTACATATTGATATCTCTGTTTCCCTATTTTCAGTGTTTTAGCTTTGATTTATTTTTGTGACTTCCCTGTCTGGGTTGATATCTGGTTGCTCTGTCCTGTGTTCTAGTCTTGGGTTGTTATTGATTTTCTACTGAGAGGATTCCCTTTAGTACTTCTTATAATTTTGGTTTGGTTTTCTCAAATTCCCTAAACTTCTATTTATCTGGAAATGCCCTAATTTCACCATCATATTTGAGAGAGAGTTTTGTTGGATATATAATTCTTGGCTGGCAATTTTTTTTCCTTCAAGGCTTTATATATGTCATCCCATTGCCTTCTTGCCTGCATGATTTCTGCTGAGTAGTCCAAGCTTAGTCTTCTTGACTCTCCTTTGTAAATGATGTTTCATTTATCCCTAGCCACGCTTAAAGTTCTCTCTTTATCTTTGGTTTTGGCAAGTTTGATTATAGTATGTTGGTGACTGTCTTTTGGGATCTACCTTATGTAGGGTTTGATGAGCATCTTGGATAGATATCTTCTCATCTTTCATGATATCAGGGAAGTTTTCTGCCAACAAATCTTCAACACTTCTCTCTATATTTTCTATTATCCGCCCCCGTTCTGGTACTCCAATCATTCGTAAGTTATTCCTCTTGATAGAATCCAACACAATTCTTAGAGTTTCTTCATTTTTTAAAATTCTTTTATCTGATTTTTCCTCAAATAAGTTGTTGTCAAGTGCTTTATCTTCAGTCTCACTAATTCTGACTTCCATTGCCCCAGTTCTGCTCCTCTGACTTTCTATTGAGTTGTCTAATTCTGAAATTTTATTGTTAATCTTCTAGATTTCTGATTGCTGTTTCTCCATGGCTTCTTGCAGCCTATTAAATTTGTCATTATGCTCTTGAATAACCTTCTTAAGATCCTCTATTGCTTTGTGTGTTCCTTGGATTGTTGCCTTTTGCCTGATCTCCTGAAGAGTTCTGTATATTAATCTTTTGTATTCTACCTCCGGTAATCCCAAGAAGTTCTCTTCCTCTGGAAAATTTCTTGATTGTTTCGGGAGCTTGCTGAAGCCATCTTGGTCTGCCTCTTTATGTGATTTGATATTGACTGTTGTCTCCGAGACATCAATAATTTATTATATTTGTTTATTTTATGTTTGCTTACTGTGTCCTAGCTTCTTGTTTTGTTTTGTTTTGATATGCTGCAATAGGCTGCTCGTGTAAGCTAGTTTGATTATTGATGCCTTTGAAGCTCTAACGTCCTGTCACCAGGTGGTTAGAGCTGTTACTAGGTATATGAGCCCAGGAGTCTGTTTACTTTTCTGGTATGAATTCAGCTCAGGTGTCCAGGTAGTTGGTCACCAAGTTTGTGGCGCAAGCTCTCACCTACTGTCCTAGACAGGATGGTGATTGGTGTAGGCACAGGTGTCTGGCTGTAAGTAGGGGGTCACACACACACTAAGCAAGGCAGGGGGCTGATGGCTGTGTCTGAGTGTCTGGGAGGAAGGTGTTTCCCTGTTCCCTAGAGCACTTAGGTGCATGGGTTTTGCAGCCAGACTATGAGCACCCAGTGCTGTTGGCTGTAAGGACTGGGGTGCACCCCTTATTCTTTGACCTCTGTCATGGGTGGCTAGGTGGTGTGGGTGGAACCACCAGTCCTTAGACCCCTGATGTGAGTAGGTGAGGAACCCACTTAATGGGCAGAGCAGTGTCAAATGTCGTGAACCTACTATTTCACCATATAGCTGAAACAGTTGAAGTAAGACTTCAGGTATATACCCTGTTGTACTGTGGTAATGAGGGCCTGCAGTGTTGAAATGGACCCACACAGGTGTGTGCAGGGCTGAAAGGCATTCAGAAGTCCGTGGACCCCTTATACCTGTGCCCAGGCAAAGGAGCTGTGCCTACCCTCCGTTCTTGGCTTAGGGGAGCTGGCAGATTATTTTTTCCTGTTTGTTAATTTGTTCCCTCTCTAAGGCTGGGAGAATGGCTCAGGGTGTGTGACGGGTCCTACTTCCAGCCCAGGGGAGTTGGCAGTCACTGAAGCTTGCCCGGGACCTGGTGCAGAGCAGGGAAGGGGGATGTAAATGGGAGAGGGGTTTTACCCAAAGTGGGTGTTTTTTGATCTGGGTGGTAGGCCAGGCGCAAGTACTTATCTTTTACCAATTGAGCGCTGCTTTTCACTGCTTCTGGATACCCATGTAGACTTCCTGCCACTGGGTCTCTCCCGATGTGGAAAATGCCTCCCGAGCACCACTGCTTGCCTCACTGTGCACGTGAGCTGATCTGGCCTGAAGGACACCGGCTCCCACTGGGTCAGGTCTGGCAACTCCTCACTGCATTCGAATGCTCTCTCTCTCCCCCTGCCACTCAGTCTTCCTCAACTTTGCCTTGGACGTTCAGGTCTCCTGGATTGTCATATATAATCGATTCACTTGTTTTTTCAGGTCTTAGTTGTAAGAGGGACTACAGGAAGCGTCTGACTTCTCTGCCGTCTTGGACTCATGTCCTATGTACTATTCTTTAGACAGTGAAACCTCTTACCCATGTTGGAATCTGCCTGTGACTGGGCAGAGATTCCCTCCACTCTGATGATCAAATCATCTTCCATATTGCCATCCTCACTGTCCTTGTCAAGGCCAGCTGCTAGGCAAACTGCTAACAAGTTCATTTCTCGTGCAGCTGCTGTTGAGTGTTTCTGCTCTGTGCTTGTTGCCATTGGCTTTAAACTTGCCATTGTGATAAGGCTTTTTCAGGCTTTAAGGAAGAGAAGTGATAATGTTATCTTAGTTGATGGGACATGAACGTAAGGCTATTTGGGAAAATAAACTGGAAACTTGACAGTCACCCAGCCAGGCCACATGGAACTGGAACATTATTCATTACTGCTCAGAGTTCAACAGTAACTATAAGAGGCCAATGGTAGTTCTCCATCTCCTATTCAGAGCACCCCAAGAGAGTCGATTAGATCATTAACCTTTCTACTTTGGCATACCCTTACTAGCATTCTTATTTGGGTAACCTCATGGCTGACGGTTTCTCCTATGCCCATGCTAAATGTGCTTACCTTTGCTTGGGGTCTAGTCATTTGGGGCCTGGAAAGCAAGGTTAAATGACACAAAAAACGGCAAATTATGATTAAGCAATAAGTTGTGGCTGTCTTTTCAGAAGGGTCTGTGGGAATGGTAGGAACTTAGTCTTCTGAACCTATTCCAGTAAACACAGCTTTCATTTTTTTCTCACAGGATTGAGTCTAATGAGTCCATCTTTTTGTAAGGAGGAGAGAACGATATGTCTGTTCAATGAATTCCTTGCTTATGTCCAGAGAGTAGGACAGCTGCATATGGAACCTACCAGCTCTCACATGCCTCTTGGACAGTTGGGGACATTCTTTAGCAGAAACAGCACTGTTGGAAATAACAGAATCCTGTGTAAACAAAGAAATGTTTCTTTGGTGACCTCAAAGCTCAGTTTTCCTGGTTCCTTCAAGCTGGGAGTATGAATTTATGTTTCTGTGTGCATGTGCATGCATGTGTCTGTGTGAGTATGTGTATTATCTCCCTATGTTAGCTCCTGCTGCTGTTTTCTTTTTCCTTTTTTTTTTTTAACTTTTCATAAAGGGAAGCCCTAAACAAAAGGGCTGGCCTAGGGACAGAGGGATTTCTGTTTTTATCTTCTGATAAGGGTAATATGAAAGAGTTGGATTCAGCAGAGATGTATTTTAGGGTTTGATACCAGAGACATCCTAGACTTTCCTCTTTGGCACCCCATCCCCTTCCTAGGTGAGAGGTGGTCAAGCGTGGTAGTTAAAAGTGTGATTTGTTTTCCAGCTCCACAATTTACTGGCTTTGATCCAGGGCAAGTCCCTTTATCTCTCTCTGCCAAAGTTATCTTACCTGTAAAATGGTGTAATTATGATACCTGCCTCAGAGTTGTTGGGAGGACTAATAGAGTAAATAAATGTAAAGCACTTAGAATTTAAAAATGATTAAAAAATGGTAGTAGGATCAGATTTTGTTACTTTTGGCCAAAGGCCATTATAAAATATTAGTGAAACTGCTATTCAGAAATGCTTAAAGGGAGACTTGATAAAGTTCCTTCCAGTGTGAAGTAAGACAACAGGAAGTGAGGAAACGTGGAAGAACAATTTTAAATGGTAGGGTAATAGCTTAATGTCTACCAGATCTGACTCAGCTTTCCTAATAACCCTGTGAACAATACTTTGTGAGTGGTAGAATATCACACTGATTGAGAGCAAGAGTTTCGTGTATAACTACTTGTTCTCTTATTTCACCAAGAACTCTGACTTCCCAAAGGATTGAACTGACAGAATACATTTTAGATTTTGTGCTGATACAGCCCTGGGGTCACCCTCACTTAAGAGAGAAGACCTTTATCTGGGGACATTATGTGGGGCTTGAAGGCAGAGACCTCTCAGAGTTTACGACACAAATCGAGTGCCAGCTCTGCTATGGAGACTTCCTAACTACTCCAGGTCCCATCATTTTCCTTTCTCCAAATACAGAATTTACGTCTACTCGTCATTCATGTTCTACTATGTACTGGCATGGAACTGTTTACTGACCCCATGATCTGTCTCTCTGACTATATAGGAAGCTCCTTGTGGCTCTAGACAGTGTTTTAAACTTATTTCAGCTCTCTCATGGTGCCCTGTGTAGTGCTGAGTCCCCAGCCAGGAGCTTAATAAATACTTGCTGACCGAGGTTAAGAGAAATCCAGTCCTGGGACCTATATCTCTGAAGACGGTTACTTTCAGAATAATGACTTTTCTCTCTCTCCACTGAGGATGGTGTTGGCTTTGTTCGTGTTTACCCGCATTTCAAAATTTCTGTTGTAGTTTCTCTCTCCTTGTTTATTGGGAACTGTTTAAACACGAATTTCGATGGTATACATGGGAAGTAAATTGCTCTGCAGTTCACAGTATAAAATGGAGAGGACAAATAGAGAATCTAGTTTTGTCTGTCAGATTCAAATATTGACTGTTTATCTTCCTGTTTTCTCTGGAGAAAGCTGCTCAAGAAAAGACCAGGGAGAGTACCTGGTCCCTTCTTGGTCTAGGGCCCAACTTATGCCAGTTAACCACTAGCCAGGCTTACAATGGGAATGGAAATTTCTATAAACATTTATAGGATGGCTATGAGTCAGAATAGACTCAATGGTACACAGCAACAACAGAGGCCCAAAGTTGAGTGGAATTGAGAAAATACCCCAGAATTTACTTGACTTTTATGAAGAGTGGACAGAATTTCCTGACACTGCGGGGTTGGGTTTGAAAAGCTGGCACAAATGAGGCTTTCTTTTCCTTCCTAGATACCTTGTTTGCGTTTTGGGTAAGCCACTGCCAAGAGGACAGTAGAGCCTGGGCTTTCCTGATAACTCTGAGATAGACTGGGGTACGTGACGGGGTGGGGTGGGGTTATAACAAGTTTCCTCACTTGGGAAATTAAATTGAAAATTTTAATTAAAATTGAACAGTACTAAGTTATCTAAGCATAAAAGTAGAGAAATACTGTATTTATGAATATTATAACAAGGTAAAAAAAGAAAAACAACTAGGTTTAGTTTATTATCCTCTTTATATTCAAGTGTTCTTAATTATTGTATCTACCTCAGAATTTAAGAACTGCAGGGGACGTTAGACGTCATCTAGTAATAGAACAAAAGGCTGAAACAGGAAGGTGTGCACCAAAACGTTAACAATGGATATCTCTCAATGTTGGGACTGTTTTCGTTTATCTGCATTTTCTTTCTTTTTTTTCCTACTTTGAACATATTGTTTATATAATGAAACATTATAAAAATAATTCTCACTCAATTACTGACCCTCAAGTGAATACTCAAATACTGAACCTTGTCAGTGAAGATGTTATCTGTTACTACATTAAGTAGCAGTTTTACTAAAAGGGAAAAAAATTTTCTAGTACAATGTTATTTTAACAATGGAATTGCGAACTGTTGTTAAGATATTTAAAACCCATTTAAACAGAACACATTACAAAAACTTCAAGCCATTTTTCTCACAAATATTGCTTTAGATTAGCAAAAGCTAGTGAAGAATTTCCTTTCTGTGAAAAAAAAAAAATCTCAGTTTATAATAGCAATTTCAGTTTATAATAAAGTGTGTGAAGCCTTTCTGTGGGACGGTGTCAAGGGCCAAGAGCTTATGTACATTGTTGAATAGGTAACCTCTCTCTTAGTGACATGATTTTCATATTTATAAAGGAGAGAGAATAACCCCAGGCCCCAAGAAAACCTTCAGGATGGAAAGAGTTTTAATTTTTTTTTTAACTTCAATTTAATGGTTTATGAAGGTTTTTCGGGAAATAAATTTGTAATAGGATAGAGAAGTAGAAGTTGTTCAAAAGGTATATATGTGACTGTCATGGATTGAATTATGTCCCCTTAAAAACACATGTATCAGTTTGGCTGGGCCATGATTCCTGGTATTGTGTGATTTTCCTATATGTTGTAAATCCTGCCTCTATGATGTTAATGAGGGAGGATGGGTGGCAGTTGTGTTAGTGAGGCAGGACTCAGTCTATAAGATTG